AAGAAAAACAGCTATTGTAACCGTTTACAATATAATTAAGACACAAACATACAATATTCGCGTTTCAGTAAATAAATTAAATCATATTGATACCCGTTTTTAATTCAAATGCATGTATGTGATTTGTTATCATACATTTTTACCGATAGACGCAGCTTTCGGGCTCATCGCCATTAATGAATATATGAATATTAAATGAGGTCTTTGCGGAGTTACCTCCCCCTGACCAAATCTAATCGAAATTGCCTTAACATCACTGCGCACATACCTCTTTGGTGTTCTAACACTTTCAGCTTGAATCCAAAATGCATTACTATGACCAGCGCTAAAGGAAAATATATTTCTTTAAATTTTCAAGAAAAGAATTATTCAGATTTTAATTGCATGACACTTAAAGATCAAGACGAGATATTGGTATTTTTGATAAATAGGTTCTGTGTTAGTGATGCTGCTTACCACGAATTAACAAGGGTTCACAATGACATGCCAAGATCTTATTTATTGGTACAGTGTATAAATGAAGTTAATAATTTGAAATAGAAAGGTTACCCGATATTGTACCAGGTGCTGTTATCAATATAAGCTCTGAAATTGAAAAATTGTAAGAGAGACATGTAAATAAGCATGATGATGTTATCCAGGTTTATTTTAAATTTTCTGATGAATTTCCAACTTTGTAATTTTTCATTACCAAATGCCTCTATAGCAAAAACTACATCTTTTCAACAAAAGCAAACATTTGCATTTGTCAAATGTTCAAAAAATCATGAAAGTCTGAAAAAATGCTGCTTACCTGTTTTTAAATCAAATTATCTGGTACGGATATTAATGTCAAATATTTTGTCGTTCAGATATGAAGTTTATTCAACTATTTATAGGGTTAGGTTCCTCTACTGGGGAATACGCTTGCCCTTGGTGTAAGGTTAGCAAAAATGAAAGATCCAATTTGCCATTTCATTGGAACTTTCACCATGAGCCTAGCATTGCTAGCACAGTTGAAGAAATTGCTCATAAAGCAAAGCAGAATAAAAGGAGATTTGGCTGCAAACATGCCCAATTTTTTAATTTGAGTGTCGAGCAGTATATCACTGATGAGCTACCTTTAATGCTCAGAGTAACATATCTTGCTAAGAAATCTGATCAATAACGCAAAAGATCTAGATGCTGATTTTAAACTTAAACGTTTACCACAGACAAATTAAAAAAAAAATAACATAATTAATACAGGGATGTGGGGTGACATTTTCATTTAGACCAATAAAACAGATTAAGCGGGTGATTTAGATTGGACAAGTTTGTCTGGTTCAGAGAAAGTTAAACTTTTAAATCAGCTTCCAGTTCAGTTATTGCTGAAAGATGGTGTTATTCCTGACGAGACAAGAAACGATGTTGTGAGTTGATGGAAGGATTTTCTTTTCTTGTATACATTTTTTTTAAAGATTGGTTATAATTTACACAATGACACTCATTATATGCATTGTTTTGTCTATCATTTACTGAAAACTTTGGGCCATTGAAAATTTTTTTCTGGTCAAGGTTTTGAAAAAACATCGATATTGTGAAACAGATCCACCAAAAAAAGAGCAAGAAGTGGGATTCTGCTGTTAGTGCTTTAAAAACTAAAATATTACGATAAAACAGGAAGTTGTTCAACTCAAATGTCTCATTGATACATCCGTCGTAGAACAAATATTGCTCAAGCAAGAAATGAAGTATGTCATCTATTGGCCCAAAAATCAGTACAATATTGTGAAAGAGAAACTAGGGGAACATCCAACTGCAGGACAAACTGCATTTTAATAAAAGACATAGATGTACTATGAAATGGTGATTATTAGGTTTAATAGCGCAAAAAGGCTATATCGCGGCGAGAGCTAATTCGAACATTTAACAATTTAAAGTATATTTTTAAAATCAGACAAAAGGTCCTTCAATATACTAAAACTCAAGTCTAAAATAAAAATGTTTATTTACAAATAAAATTCAACACTAAGATAAGATGATAAAAATTAAAATCATTTGCAATTTAAACAACATTTTTATATTTTATAATATATTCCAACTTCTTTTAAGAATGAAATACTATTTGTAATTGGAACACTATCAAATAATCTATACATATTATTGACATTGAAATGCTTCCTACGAATATCAGCAAAGTCAATACAATTAATTAAAACATGTTTAATAGTAAACTTGCAGTTGCAATGTATACACTGTGGTTCTTCTTCATTTTTCAAAAGATACTCGTGTGTTATTTTAGTATGACCAATACGGCATCTAGAAATAACACACTGATCTTTTCTGCACATAAAAGTATTAAAAGTTTTACCTAATTTAGGTTTAATTTCATGTAATTTATTATCAACTTATTTACTCCATTCATTTTCCAATATATTAAAAACATATTCTCTAATATTAGATCTAAAATCGGTATATGGTATATCACAGTTAGATAATGGATCATCCAGGGCATTTTTTCTTCTTCGTCTACAACCGTGTTTCCATGGATTCCAACATGACTCGGAACCCATAGAAAAATTATTTTTTTATGAAGAATTTTTAAATTCCTCATTAAATACAAAATCTTGAGAATTATCGGGTTTTTAAATTTTAGTATGTTGTATAGCTTGTAAGCATGATAGTGAATCAGAACATATTATAAATTCGGATTTGTCTGAAGTAGCAAAATATTTTAGAGCTAAAATTATTGCCTTTGCTTCAGCAGTAAATATGGATGCGGCTGATGACAAACGGCGAGTCGCTGCTATGTCTCCAAAGACAGCAGCAGATGCAGCTCGGTTACCATCCTTCGATCCATCTGTATAAACAGTTGAAAAATCTGAATAATTTGCCTTAATTTCAGCAAAATGTTGTTCAATCACAAGAGGGTTTGTTTCCGTTTTTTTTGTATTTATGGAGATCAAATATCATTTTCAGTTGAGGAGAGAGTAGTGACGAAGAAGATATAGAGGACCTCTAAAACTGTCTTTTTCTAAGCGTTCCTTCTTCGCATACGTCTTTAGTTATAATAAAATAACTGTGATTTTGTTAGTTGTTATGTATTTAGACGAACATTCAACTTTCACAAAAAGAAAATACAAAATGTAACAGAAGTTAATGTGCTTGCAAAGTCTGTCATATGATTCTGTTAAAAATCGTTTCTCATTACTGCGGATTTCTACTTTTTAGTCTAATATAAACTGTTATCACAGAGATATGTCTCACTTTCTTGTAATTTTGAATATGCAAATGTTGAAATTAAAACAGCAATACATGTTACAAAAAAGGCAAATATTCAAAGTCAATGAACCATGACTGAGGTACATGGCTAAACAATCTCCATGTAAATGAGATGTGCCAATACGAATACAACTGCATACCAAATGTCATTGACTTATTATAAGTCGTTCCCTTTAAACAAACCTAAACACAAATATTAACTTGTAATCTATGTAAAAGTTTCAAACTGAAGTCAATGAACAATGAAGAGGCGGTGGAGCTATATAATCTCCATGGAAACGATACTTGTAAATGCCCGTATCACTGACTTAACATTAGCAGTTCATCTTAAACTAATCTAATCACAAACTAATACATGTAAACAAAGCAAAAGAATCAAAGTCGATAGACCATGACTGAGGGGACGGGGTCAAATAATCTCGATGGAAATGAGATATGCCAGTGCTTATACAACTGCATACAAAAAATCATTGACCTACCACTAGTAATTCCCCATAAACTGACCTAATCACAAACTAATACATGTAAAATAAGCAAAAGTTTTAAAGTCAATAGACCATGACTGAGGGGTCAGGGCAAAATTATCTCCATGGAAATGAGATGTGCCAATTCTAATACAACTGCATACCAAATATGATTGACCTACCACTTGTGGTTCACCACAAACTAGACCTAATCACAAACTAATACAATGTCGACGCCGCCGCCGACTCCGGAAACAGCATACCTATGTCTTGCTTTTCGACTCCGTCAAACGAGACAATAAAAATTGGTTATATCCAAACCACTTAGATACAATGTAAACTAATCAATAACTTAAATATCACAACCAGTCATTTAGATATTCTAACCAGTTACTAAGACATATTAAAAGCACAACAAATTGTTTATTTTTCTTTATTTATGTATGCCGATACAGCCATTTGATGAGAGGATAACGAAATGTATAAAGATTGATTGATTGTTGGTTGCTTAACGTCCAGTGGCAAATATTTCATGCATATTCAGGACGAGAACAATTTAACAATAAATACAATAGATATGTTCTGTAATAGAGGCGTTTGGGATTAAGGTCGAAGAAATTTAGACTGCCACGGGAAATGAGGGTATATTCGATAGGGACAGAAGTTTAGCCTTGCAACAGGTCACCAACGGACCCCTCCAAGCGTTGTTGCAAGGGTTCTTAACGTGCAAAGAGCGTGGCACTCTCTTTACACAAGACATCGGATTTAACGTCCCCATTCTGACCGGACGTGGCTGCAAATTTGTACATCTCGCACAGCCAAACGGACGCCCCACTTTGGCGAGGGTTTTACTGCCGGTCGGAGGAAGACCAATAGTGACCATACTTCTTTTCCCCAGTCACCCTTGGAGGGAAATGTATTAAGAAAATGGTTGCTGAAAGCAAAATCACTTCATGAACTCAAATGAAATAGCTTCTTGATATTCATGTTACAAATGACTACCTTGACCTATAAGCAGTAGATTCTGGTCAACCTTGAAAGTCATCAGAAATAATATTCTCTTTGGCCTAATATGAATAAGTGAGTGTGATTAATTGATTGATTGTTGGTTGCTTAACGTCCAGTGGCAAATATTTCATGCATATTCAGGACGAGAACAAGTTCACAATAAATACAATAGGTAGGATCTGTAATAGATTAAGGGATTAAGGTCGGAGAAATTTAGACTGCCACGGGAAATGAGGCTATAATGGATAGGAATAGAAATTTAGCCTTGCAACAGGTCACCTACGGACCCCTCAAAGAGTTGTTGCAAGGGTTCTTAACGTGCAAAGAGCGTGGCACTCTCTTTACACGAGGCATCGGATTTAACGTCCCCATTCTGACCGGACGTGGCTGCAAATTTGTACATCCCGCACAGCCAAACGGACGCCCCACTTTAGCACGGGTTTTACTGCCGGTCGGAGGAAGACCAATGGTGACCATACTTCTATACCCCAGTCGCCCTTGGGGTCTAAGTGAGTGTGACGATCGGCAATTGTAACACATGTACTTGAATTAAAGTTCAACTCTCAAAATGCAGACAAGTTCATAGATAATAGTAAGGCTTTTCAAATGAAACTACTTTTTTCGCTTTTTTTCAACAAAGTATTGCTGTGTAATTAAAATGGTAACGCATATTTTAGGTTTGAAAAGGGGGGGGGTGTATTTTTGTTAATAGCTTTACTCGTAATTATAGAATAATTTAACTCTGTTATTATTTTTATTTTCTTGAATCGGAATTATTTCAAGACGTACTATAAGCATAAGACAAATGCAAGATGCTATGCACCAGAATAAGACATTGTTTGCTTGTGTATGCCAGCTCAGGGAGCTTGTCGAAGCATGTTAGAAGCACACATTTACTCATCAAGTATCCTTGTGACGTGCGTGGAAAGGAGTATAAACGAACAGACTCCTTAATGGTTCACAAGAGGAAGTTGCATCCAGAGGTATGGAAATATCAGATTTTCTATATATAAAACATCATTGTTTTAGGTCATGACAATGCTTTCATAAGGATGATTTCAACTGAAACAATTACCACTTATATTCTTCTTTTATTTAAATGGTTTGACATTGTCCAACATACTAGTATACTCAGTCTATATAGAAATGAGAATATGTGGTATGAGTGCCATTAGACAACTCTCCATCCAAGTCACAATGTACAGCCTTCAAAAAGGAGCATTAGCTCACACAGAACAGCAAGCTATCAAGGGCCCCAAAATGACTAGTGTAAAACAATTCAAACCAAACGTCTAATCTATTATATAATATGTCATCAGTTAACATCTGGGCGAATTTGACACAATTGTATATCTTGTTTTATAGTTATTCAGGCAAGAAGCACAGCAGACAACATACACCTGCGACAAGTGTACAGACGGAGAGAGGAGTTTCAATTACATCTTCCAGGAAACCATCAGGTAACATTATTATTAGCGCAGTTAAACACAAATCATGCACACACTATATGGATGCAGCTATTACTGATTGATTATTGATTATAACAAGTCTTAAAAATAATAACTTTCTTTATTTTCCAGATACAGGCTGGAACTCTACCATTGTCTCCATCAGCACCAGCACCAGTTTCACCATCAGCAGCACCACCAATCATGAACAAGATGATGAAGTAGAAGCGGAGGAACACATTGTGCCAAATGGAGTCCATGTCGTAGAATAGAATGGAAACTTACGTGTCACTACACCTCGATCTGTTAAATGGAAGCATTCATCTTTGATCAACCTGTCAACAGGCTTTTTTGTGGCTAAGTTGTAAATTGAGTTCGCCCAAAGGCATTGTCTAGCTATTCTTGATGGTTATAGTACTATTGCCTATTCTAGTAGTGGCATCATATATCGCGACTATGCATTGAAGATTTGAACCTGCATAATCTTGAAATTTATACAATTTAAAGTTGGTAATGTAATGAAAATTAATTTTATTATTTATTTTAGCGAAGTTACTACATGTAACTATAATTCTTTGTATACAAATAATACTGTAAAAAGAAGATATTGTGAAACGGTTAATCCATAACGGTCAACCAACTAGTGATGGCGTCCGTAAAATTTACGAAGGGATGACTTCAACTTCACCATTTGGAACCCTTGGTTTAATAGCTTCCTTTTGAACAGCAATCTTCTATCAAGGAAATCATGATAGGAAACACAAGCCCGGGAATATCGTATCAATTGGGAGATATATACTCCGTATGCAGGCGCTGCTGGAATGTTGCTATATAGAAATGGAAAGTTCACAATTGGAAAGCTGAAATCATCTCTTTAGTCGTAAAGATTTGTTTTCAACCGACTCTCATTGTCAATTTATAGATGTAAGTCAAGATATGAAGCAGACTTAACTGTATCTGTAGTATCCTTTATCTCTAGTTCGATGGGATAGATTCGTTCAACATAGTCACCAAATTTTGTATTATTTAGTGAGAGAACATCATCTATATAGCGGAACGTAGAGTTAAAGGATATTGCTAACTTTTTATCTTTCTTCCTAAGAAGTTCCTGTATGAAGTCAGCCCCATAATAGTAAAGAAACAAGTCGGCAAGAAGAGGGACACAATTGGTTCCAATTGGAATTCCGACAGTCTGTTGAAAAACACGTCCTCCAAACGTAATAAATATGTTGTCAATCAAGAAATCAAGCATCTTGATGTCAGTTTCAGAGAATTTTCTGTTTGAATCAGAGTTATACTTTTCAAAGTAGGATTTATCCCTCCCCAAGACAAGATACTTGTATCTACGTTCGCCATTCTTTTTTATGAAATTTTGCAACATTTGGGTCTTTAAAAATTGACGTAGCGTGGGTATTGATATGCCCATTTAGTTTCTTAATTCGGATTTGTATCAACGATAAATGATGATTGTAATCAATTGTGTACATAACTTTTTTTCATTTAAAATTTAGTGTTTCATACTGAATCATGTATGGTAAAATTGTTTCATGTATGTTTTTAAATTGTTTCTAGGGTACAGAAGCTGATTATGAATTAGCTGGAGTCCAAGGTGGTTGGTTATGTGTAGGTGAAGTCACTTCAACCTGAAGCTTTGTACAAATGTTCATTATCTTTCTAAATTGTAGCTAGGAAGATTGATAAACCAAATAGGAAATACATGTACACCTTTAAATCATTCAATACACTAAATATAATTAGTTGACCTATTGCTTATGATTCCCAAGAAACAAACTTATTTAACAGGAATACTTTTTTGTATAGTTTGAAAGGATAAATTATCACCCATTGTCTTACGATTTAATAGGTGCCAAATCTTTACCTTAGATTTACCTTAGAGGGTGGCAACGACTGACTATAATAAGAAACTTTATAATTTCTGTGTATAACAGACTTAAAGTTTGTAACAGCTTTTACAAGAGCAGCGATACTCATATGCGTTGCATCGCCAAACTTATCATATTCGAAAATTTTCGGTATAGCATATGAGAAATCAACCTCGATGTTATGCTTTAACCTCGTACCTTAGCGATTTGGCGATTTGATGAACAAAATATAACGGCGGAGATGCGGTTGATAACAAAACATCGTCTTTTGAGACTGTCTGGCCAATAACTTGTGTTAATTCTGAAGAGAAAAATAATAATCGTAACTTCATATACACAGAACTAAACAAATATGCATCAAGTTAAAATTGAAAACAAGCATGGCATCAGTCTTTTGTTGACTGTTTACCTATTTGTGTTGTGGACTAGGTTTTAATGTGTACCCCTGCGCTTCTTTTTATTCGTGTGTCAGTAACATTTTAAGAGACTGGTCATTTGAAACATGTCCCCAAGAGTGACTGAGGGGAAGAAATATGGTCACCATTGGTCTTCCTCCGATCGGCAGTAGAACCCTTGCCAAAGAGGGGCGTCCGTTCGGCTGTGCGGGATGTATCAAATTTGCAGCCACGTCCGGTCAGAATGGGGACGTTAGATCCGATGCCTCGTGTAGAGAGAGTGCCACGCTCTTTGCACGTTAAGAATTCTTGCAACAACTCTTTGAGGGGTCCGTAGGTGACTTGTTGCAAGGCTAAATTTCTGTCCCTATCCAATATACCCTCATTTCCCGTGGCAGTCTAAATTTCTCCGACCTTAACCCCGGACGACCCTATAACAGAACCTACCTATTGTATTTATTGTTAATTTGTTCTCGTCCTGAATATGCATGAAATATTTGCCACTGGACGTTAAGCAACCAGCAATCAATCATTAAAGTAACACTCAAACTTATTCCATGTTTGGAGATAAGCATTTAACCTTTGGTAATTACCATAATTACCATGCCGCAATATTATAGAAGAGGCTACTTGAAACTTGTTGACTTTATTAGTGTTTCCTTCACAATATAACTGTTGAATAATATGTGTGGAGCCCATGTGTCGAATCACGTTTGGCACATTTTGTACTGTTCAATCGGATAATTTCAGATTCTTTTACCATATGATAGATCTCGGATAATATGTGACTATGTTGTGAAATCCAAGAAGCTGTCTAATTTCATTGGATCCATTTTTTCTGTGTGTTTCTACTGATGGTACAGGCAGCCCATAGCCAAACTTCTCTCCGTGTTTATGAACTATGAAAACTTGATAACATTCACTTTTTGTCCTCAGAACGCAGGTAATCTAGTTTTGCATCACACAGGTTCGATTTAATTACCTCTCGTATATAAAACAGACTAAGCCTTGGCTCATTTTGTTTTGTATGTTATTGATCTTTTTGGTCCCATACTGACGAAGTCATAGGGGACTTAAGGTTTGCACTCCGTTCTTCTGTCCATCCGTCATTCATGCAAATCAGTTTTTCACACTATTTTTCTTCGTGGTTGATGATATTGATTTGATATTTTGTGTTTTGTATGATCATGACATGTTTAAGATCAATTTCAAACTTTGTTCCGGTCTGATGATTTTGTTATGGTCCTTAGAATTAGACCATTCATTCAATTAATCAGCCCCCAAGGGTGACTGGGGAATAGAAGTATGGTCATCATTGGTCTACCTCCGATCGGCAGTAAAACCCTTGCTAATGTGGGGCGTCCGTTTGGCTGTGCGGGATGTACAAATGTGCAGCCACGTCCGGTCAGAATGGGGACGTTAAATCCGATGCCTCGTGTGAAGAAAGTGCCACGCTCTTTGCACGTTAAGAACCCTTGCAACAACTCTTTGAGGGGTCCGTAGGTGACCTGTTGCCAGGCAAAATTTCTGTCCCTATCCAATATACCCTCATTTTCCGTGGCCGTTTTAATTTATCCGACCCTAATCCCGGACGCCTCTATTATAGCACCTACCTTTTGTATTTATTGTTAATTTGTTCTCGTCCTGAATATGCATGAAATATTTGTCACTGGACGTTAATCAACCAACAATCAATCAATCAATCAATTACAGAGTTGTGTATTAGAAGAGCCAAATCGACATACTTGCCCCTATGATTTTTTTGTCTTCAATTCTGACAAAAATGTAATGTTATGTCATCGTCAAGGCTTGGCGAGTAACTAGGTGTATGACGGAACACTAAATTAAAGGATAAAATTTGTAACATCAAATACAGGGACCAATACTGATACTCCTCCTGAAGTTGAGGTAAGGTTAGATACTAGATCTGGTATTAGTTTAGGCCGTGTTTCCTTTGTTTGCTTCTATTGTATTCTAGTCTTTCGTATTGCTAATTTGCTCTGTCTATATAGATATAAGAAGATGTGGTATAAATGCCAATGAGACAACTCTCCATCCAAGTCAGCATTTATAAAAGTAAACCAATATAGGTTAAAGTAATGGTCTTCAGCACGGAGCCTTGGCTCACACCGAACAGTAAGATATAAAGGGCCCCAATATTTAGTGTAAAACCATTCAAATGGGAAAACCAACGGTCTTATCTATATAAAAAACGAGAAACACTTATGAATCACATCAAAAAACGACAACTACTGAACATCAGATTCCTGACTTAGGACAGGTGCAATCAATTGAATATGCCTTATTGTTTTTCTCTGTTCAAATATTTGTTTTGTTTTGATAGTTAGAAAAAGAAGGCAAACTTCAAATGAGGAAACTTCAACCCAGACTCTGCCATCCGGTGGATAATTCCTGTTGACGCAAACTTTCCATTTTTCAAGTTGTCTAAAGTCGTCAATCTTTGTTTCTAGCGAATAGTTTGATTGTTGAAATGTAGACTTTGTTGTGAATGAATATTTACAAATTAAAGTAGCCCCTCTTCAGACTTGTTTATGAAACTTTCCAAATGTAAGACATCATGTATTGCTCTGTGGGCAATGTAGTCATTTTCTAGTTAGTGTTTATGAATCGATTCGTGGGTTTAACTATCTAGTGAATTAAGAATTTTTAATAACGAAAGTTTATCTGAAAATCCGTGAGCACATTCCTGAAAAGCCTTATAACTGCTGCTGTTTGTTTGTCAAATCATTCTGAACCGTCAGAAGCTTTGTTTTAAAATTTTGAATGCATGCATTTTTCTGGGAATTACATCTCTAGCTCTTACAAATGGCTGCTTGTACTTTGACCCTTCAATCTTAATCAGTGCATTCACAGAAATCTGCTGCATACGATTTGCTCG